AAGACAACGTGTCAGAAGAGTTGATTGTACTCGACATTAGGGACTCTTTATATTTATGATACATAACCGGTGAGCCAACTCTACTCTGATCAGTTATTTATTAATGCGCATGTATCAATAAACATCTTTGTTCCTCTCACTCTGAACTTAGTACGCCTAAAAAGACCTTCGGAATGTCATAAGGTTTGAAAGTTCTATAACGCTTGACAAAATTGGCAATGTCTTCTGCATTCATCAGCAGTTGATGCACTCCACCTAAACCAAAACCTCCGTTCCCAACTCTGGCACAGCTCGACTTTGCATGTTTTTCCTGCGAACATCTGAAACATAATCGTTTCTACGTCATGACTTGTGATCTACCTGATGAAGAAAATTGACACACTCACTAAGCCGATGCACGTCACCGCAGATCACATTGTCATGAACACCCTTCATGGCACAAGATTTCGCCTTATTGACTTCTCAGTATCGGGACTGGGATGCAATATACTGGTATACTTTCTCGTTGTTTGGTCCACATCAATTTTCATCAGCCTGAATGTACCACCAAACCCTGGTTCCAAGCCTTCGTGTTCTATATGGACACCGACTTCACCCACTTTGTCACTGAGTAGATAAGTGTCTGAAGATTTCTTCGAGGACAAAATTTGAATCCAAGTCATCTATAAAATTCAGAGACGTCAAAGTATTCTCGTGCACCATCCAGTTGTCTAAAAGCGAGGTAAAGCCTTTGAAATCATCACTTAACTGAAACCCATAGACCCTTAAAACGTCAAACAACCATCTAGAAATCATGGAAAGCCTTCCAAATCTTTAACGTAATATACGCTTTACTTCGTCATACCCCTCATTTGGAGGCAAGAGTTTACGATGATGCATTGCCCTAGCTATAGCATTGGCACAGTGTCTTAATAAATACATCAATCTTGTTTTGTCATTAAGTCTGAAATCGCTAGATATAACTTTGATCCTCTTGCAAAGTGCAGATAGTCCTCTGGATTTTAGTGATAGCACCGTGGCTCAAGGTATGGAAGCTTTAAGAAAATACCCTCTCAAGCTATGAGAACATGGTCCTCCATTTTATCAGATATAACCTCATACGCCTTATCAAACACAATAAGCAGCTAATTATGAGTACTTATCAGTTCGTTCATTCTTCCATCCAGACATTACTGAACGTCACTGAAACCCTGAGAGTGTATGTTCCAGGTAACACCTTAAGTTCTCCTCCAGCTTTCAAAAAATATTGTACAGCTAGTCCATTGCCGCCAATAATGTCGCCCGCATATATGGAGATCCACTGAAAAAGACTTAGGGGCTGAGGGTGTTGACGTTCACGGATAGTAAGAAATATACTAACATAAGATCTTATACCCACAACTATATTATTCGTTCCGCGTAGACCAAAGGCAAAGCAAAATACAAGATTGATCGTCCAAATTACGAGTTATATATTTCGGGACCAAATCGGAGTGCGGGATGATTGCTTAACTAACAAGGGAACGTGCTCGAACAAACGAACGTGACACGAAAGAGTACCAAATGGTGTGGATGCTTGACCGGAAGCCTTCAGCTAAACAAGTTGACTTAAACAGTGAGGGTCAGCAACCAGCGTTCAGTGATGAATGCGGTAGTCAATAACACTGGGGAATTACTTGCCGCTTCAAGACAAATCACATATTGCCCATTCAGTGTTCATCAACACTGACAAATATACTGCCTTACTAAATAATTAGCTTGAAGATATTAACCAATGAATACCAACACAGTATTCGTTAACTTTGAGTCCGCTGAATGCAGTGGAATGCACTAGGTATAGACCAAATTGCAACTCTTCGCATCATCATCGAACAAAGCATGGAATGGAAATCAAACCTCTACCTCAACTTTATAGACTTCGAGAAGGCCTTCGACAGCGTTGACCGCGAAGTAATTTGGAAACTACTCAAGTACTACGGCGTAACCCAAATATTCATCAACCTTATTCAACAGCTGTACGACAACGGCACATGTCAAGTGATCCACAACGGAAAACTCAGCGAAGCGTTTGGAGTAAACACAGGAGTCAGACAAGGGTGCTTATTATCACCAATGATATTCCTAATTGTGGTGGACTGGATTATGCGTCAGACAGTGGGAAACGAGGAGACAGGGATATCCTGGACCGACGTGAAGAACCTAGAAGACCTGGATTTCACAGATGATTTATGTTTGATGTCACACAAAATCGAAGACTTACAAGCGAAAACCGACAAACTAGTCGAAGAAGCAGCAAAGACAGGACTCCAAGTGAACATAGACAAGACGGAGGTTATGAAAATAAACAACCAACCAACCAACAACAGCAGCAGCAACATCCAGTGCCAATCACCATCAACGGGAAGGATTTGAAAGAGGTTACTTCTTTCACTTATCTAGGGAGCATTGTCTCAACCACAGGAGGAACGCACGAGGATGTCAAATCGAGAATCGGGAAGGCGAGAAACACATTCATCAACCTGAAACCAATCTGGAAATCTTCGTCACTCAACTCAGCATCAACAACAAAATTCGGATTTTCAATACAAACGTCAAGTCAGTTTTGCTATACGGACCAGAAACTTGGCGGGTCACAAAGAATATTTCCAACAGCCTGTTCGGCTGAAATTATCCCGCATGCTCAAAGTCATTGATGGAGTGAGACGCTCAAAGGTCATTTTCGTCCATGTTAGTCGGTTATGTTGGATTGCAGTTCCATAGCCGTTCGTTTACACATTGGTTTTATGTTCTGTTGGCATTTATAGGTGATTCCCACGTACTGATAGCATTCTTTTGTAAAATAGTACTGTTCTTCACACGAAAATAGCCACATTTTGACGTAGTCTTCAGTGAATGACACTATGTCGAAAGCTGCAGCTTCTACAAGAAATAAACTATTTGTGTAGATGACATTACCCCCCAACTACCCCATCTTCTTCATTGTAGAGATGTTTTGACGCATTCAGCATGAAACACTAATCATTACAACCAATATGCTAAGTGTGTCGCAGTCAGATTAAATGACGCAGACACCAGCATAACTAGCCAAGAAATGAGAATTCCTATCAATCCAGAAAACATACAACAAAATTTTATTAAAAACTATTGACAAAATAAATTTGTCGAGCGAAATTTCAACCAACATGCCGGATAAGTCCAGCCGCCTGTTGCAGACCTTTATCAACAACTCTCTTTGCTCTATACTGAAGATCAGATGGCCGCAAATAATCACCAACAAGAAACTTTGGGAACAAACAAAACAAGAAGCAATAGCTCAACAATTATGCAGGAGAAAGTGGAGATAGATTGGACACTCGCTGAGGAGGCCGTTGGGTGACATCGCGCGTCAGGCCAGTGCTCGAGTGGAACCTGAAAGGGAAGCGGTGGCGAGTGGGACGTCCAAGGGTGACATGGAGGAGATCGTGTGAAGAAGAGTTGAAACAGTATGGACTAACATGGATGCAGGTGAAAAGTACAGCAGAAGACAGAAGCAAGTGAAGGCGTGCAGTTGAAGCTCTATGTTCCACTAGGAAACCAAGGGATCAAGCTGAATTCCGGAAAGTCAAATCATGGGCTGATCAAATTGCAACTCTACGCATCATCATCGAACAAAGCACAGAACGACAGTCAAACATCTACCTCAACTTCATCGACTTCAGAAAGGCCTTCACCAGACAGCGCACCATTGACCGAGAAGTAATTTGAAAATTACTTCAACACTACTGTGTACCTCAAGTCTTTGTCAACCTCATTCAATAGCTGGCTATATGACAATGCCACATGCCAGGTGATCCGCAATGGAAAGCTCAGTGAGGCGTTCGAAGTGAACACAGGAGTGAGAGAGAGCTAACTTTTATCACCGATGATATTCCTAATTGTCGTGGATTGGATTATGCGTCAGACTGTGGGGGGCGAGGAGACAGGAGTACGCTGGACCACCGATAAGAAGACTCTAGATCTAGAATTCGTAGATGATATACGTCACACAAATTCGAAGACTTACAGGCGAAAACCAACAAGCTGGTTGAAGAAGTAGCCGGTGAAGACAGGACTGCAGGCGAACATGGAAAAGAAGGAGGTGATGAAGATACCAACGAACCGCAACAACCAGCACCAACCACCATCAAAGGGAGAGATTTAACAGAGGTTGCCTTCTCCACTTATCTGGGAAGCATCGTTTCAACTACAGGCGGAGCGGACGGAGATGTCAAAGTCAGAATCGGAAAGGCAAGATACTCCTTCATCAATCTGAAACCAGTATGGAAATCTCTCGCACTCAGCATAAGAAACAAGATTCACATTTTCAACACCAATGTGAAGTCGGACAGTGCTTCTATACGGGTCAGAAACTTGCGCTTTGTGTCACGAAAAGGATTTCCAACAGGTTGCAGACTTCCATCAACAGCTGCCACCTTCATTGACTGGCTCCATACTGAAGATCAAGTGACCAACTGGCCAGAAAGAATAAGCACCAAGAGACTGGCTGGTAGCAAACCAATCAAGAGCCTATTGCTCAACAAATGTGTAGGAGAAAATGTAGGTGGATTGGGCATACCCTGAGGAAACCGTCGAATGACATCGCGCGCAATTCAGACCATCACTCGAGTGGAATTCCAATGGGAAGCGACGAGTGGATCGTCCTAGGGTTACGTGGAGGAGATCGTGTGAAGAAGAGATGAGAGAGTTTGATCAATTGTGTACCCATCTAAAGAGGACGGTAGAAAACAGAACAAAGTGTTGTTGAAGCCCTATGTTCGGCTCGGAAATCAAGGGACGATGAATAGGAACACAAGCTTGTGACAAAGCTGAACGTATTCGGCAGATTTATTGAAATTTCGCTTGGTTAATGTTCTTGGTTGATAAAATTGTGTTATCTGTTTTCTGAATAAGTTCGTCTGAGGACAACTATATTGAATACTGTAATCGACAATTTTGGATCCGAAGGTCGTCTCAAGGTCGCATACAGCAAAGATGGTGAAACAATGCCTTATAGAGGGTTATGGAGTTATGGGGATTGTAAAGTACGCCGCTTTTTATATATTCTCAACCACTTAAGAGAGGAGTCAGAGCTACTGCTCAGGACGGTTAAGGATATATGCAAAGCTACTAGTTTTGTGGAGGAAGAAACATTCAAGCTTTCTGAATATGAAACAGAGATGCGATGTTTACTTGATGAACGAGCTCTTATTCTAAGCCACTTGCGTAGCATTGATCAGGATATATCCGCGGTAAGCTTATTTCTGTCGGTAAACGTGCATAGCTGCAGCTACCCTTGGCATGTATTTTGATTTTGACTATAGCTTGAAACCATACAGTATTTTTGGTACAGGTATGAAATTTTCAGCATGTGATATCGGTCGCCCGAATTTCGCAGGCTGACCATTGGTATCGGATGTGCGTCGGCCAGAGATCGACCCCTGGACCATGTGCATGGTCGGCACAGCGTCCTAACTGCCGTACCACATGCAGGTTCCCCCAAAAATTATTTAATGCGGTATTGTTATTGCATTTCTGTAGAACTGACATGTAATTGTTATGCAACAGTAAATTTTTTTGTGTACTCATAGTTAATACTGTACTCTAACTAGAATAAAAGTCTAAAACATATCAGACAACTAGATTGCAGTTCTTTTGGCATTGTTCCTTGTCTGCTTGCTAATATCGTTGTCTATTATTTTTTTAACGCTACTAATTTAAAAAGACAGCGTCAAAATAGGGCTAGAGGAGTTTAATTTTGTAACCTAGTGATACATGGACTCAGGGTGCATTTTTACTATATTTAAATGTGAATTCACATGTCTCATATATGCAGTCATCCAGTGACAGAACACCGTGCGTGCGCCATTCTTACACTTCTTTTTTGATGGGTTTCGAAGACCTGTGAAAACAACAATATCAAGAAGGTATTGTTGGTTGTGTGTAGTATTATTCAGTAGTGACTCAAATACCACTGATAGTCTTATTAGCTAATACGTGCATTGACTTACTAGGAATATCTGCTAGCGGCTGTTCAAAAGCAAAAGCTTGTTTGGGTACTTGTTCATCACTGCGATGAACAAAGGGTTAATCAACAAAAACGTATTTCACTCGACATTTTTATCGAGAGGTATAGATATATTTTGTAAGGATTTAGTCAGAAGTACTAAAATGACTAAGTATGAACGATAAAATGTATGGAATACGCTGAGTTTAGGTTGTTTAAATATTAACAGGGTTTATTGTGGATTGTTGTTACAGTAATATTTACAGTCATCCTATTGGTAAACAGAGCGTCAATGAGTCACAAACAGTTAGTGGTGTTTCGGGATATTGTTGTTCCAAGGTTACGCGCCCCATCTCTAATGAAGGCCTTACTTTGAACAGACTTATAGGTAGACTGAATTATAGACCCATTTTACGGTCTGAATTGTGAGCATAAGCACAAAACTAGTTTATTATGCATGTTTCTTTTTGGAAAGTGGTATCCTATTAAAGGTGCTATATAGTTGTGCTCAGTAGTTTTTTACTTTCCGGTCAAGAATTGTAGTATCACATATTAGGTTGAAATTACTTTTATTGTGTCAAAAATTTTTTTCAGTTGGGAACAATAATGCGTCAAGCCTGGTCGGATCGAGAAAAAAATGTTTCTCACACCCAAAAGCTATATAGTGAATATGATAAACTTTTAAGTAGTGTAAATAACCATAGGAAACGCTTGCAGATAATACCTCTTCAAAATCAGTACAAAGCAAATGAGACATTGTGGAGTTATAAGTAAGTCTTTCGGATTTATATTGTTCAGCTTAACTTTTTCTCTTATGGACTGTAAACAATACATGTACTGACTAACATGTGTAAGACGTGGTCATTATGGTTTTATGTAGTCCCACATCACTTTGGTTACTGGAAATGTCACAGTGAAAGTATTGCTTATCAGATGACGTTTCCTACACAGTTATTCATAATTATATTAGTTGTAACGGCAGAACTTCGAAACTTGATTTTTGGGGTCCTCGTTTTTCTTTCCATTCATCGTAAGGGTAAAAAAGTTTTCCAGATGTACAGGACAGGTGTTAAATCATTCTTATTGCACATATCCTCAGAATGTGATCCGCAAAAATCAAGTCTCAAAGATATGTAGTTACAACTGATATAATTGTGAACAAAAAACTAGAAACACTGTGCAGTAAACAAACTGTTACGCGGATAAAGAAGGCTCGTTTGCCATATGCTAACCCACTGCATCTCTTGCGTAGACATCATATCCGACTGTAGACCAAAGGGCGTGTTTACTGCTCAACAGTTCTCTCCGTTCTCCTTTATAGCTGTGAGACGTGACTATTGAAAGTGGAAGAAATGAAAATGTTAGTTCTCTTTGATCATAGGTATTTGCGTCCTATGCCCCCTGTTTAGTGGTATAATAGATTGAGTAATATTGAGGTTGGGCATCGAGTGGGGGGAAATCAATCGACACCGACTGGGATGGTTAGGACATGTTTTACGTGTGCCTGGCTATCGCCTTCCTCGATGGGCAATGCTAGTTGACATAGGGTCAGGTTGGAAAAGAGCCAATGGTAGTCAATCTAAAGCATGGTTTCATCAGTCAATGAAATCCGTAACAGTTAGTTTAAGTCACGTAGGAAGGTTTAGGATTCCTGATTGGGGGTCCTCGGGATGGTAAGAACCATTGACAGCTGGAGACAATGTGGTATGGCTCAAAATCGTTCTCGATGATGGCGCAGATGCATTCACTCTTGTGATTTGTCATACTCAATAAAACTCTATTGTCCTTCCATATTACTATTCTCTTTCTCTCAGAATTCTGTTCATTATTTCTCTTTTGAATCTCCGTTTACTTTGTTCTCTTGCTTTGTATACTTCATGGAGTGTGGCCACTCGAACTGCTATACATCTGCGCAAACTTCTACGTTGAAACCAGTCAGTCACTTTGTGATATATCCAATTGATACGAGATATGTAGTAATTGTCTTGGTGTGTTGATGAACAGCATGAAAACCAAAGATTAGCTGTTAGCGGACTTAAGTACGCATCTCTGTCCACTAACTGTGCCATGCCTGGATTCAAATAACTTACTTACTTTGCTTCGGCTATCTCCTACGGAAGGATGAGCCGGCTTCATGAACTTCTCAAATCATCGCTACCCAGGCGCAGAAATCTGATGAAGAGAGTTTACGAAGTTTCATGGGAATTTGGTACGAGTGATGTCCCCAGAATCGCTCGGCCTTTTGTTTGAGAGTGCAGCTCTAGCCTTTACACAACCAAGTGTGACCTACAAGGCAGTAGGAGTGGAGTAAGGAGTCCACTATCCATTGGCAGCCGGTGACCGGAGTTCGGTTCATACGCCTTTTTGAATGGGGCCAGACATCCAGGACATCCAACAAGCCCTTTGTCCATACGTCTGCCGGTGAGCTCCAGTGAGCTTCATACGCCAGTCGTCGTTGGAGGTTTGGAATCAGGGTTTAGCCATCTCCCCTAGACTGTCATCCAATGGACAGTCAACCCGGTGAAGAGCGCCGGGCATCCGCTTTCGCCCTCTCACTTTGGTGAAAAACACCTCTGCCACGTGAAGGCAGTGGGTAGGACTTCCTCAGGAGAGGCTATGTAAGACGCCCGGTCATATGGGAGCATTTCAAGAGGTGTGCGGAGGGGTGGCCAACCCGCAGCGCAAGGCACCCACCCCCGACCATCCTGAGGCTTAGAAACCAAGGTAAATACATGTGGAATGAAATTTCCGTGCTTTTCTTATTTCTGCACACTTCCTTAAATACAAAGAGAATCCTAACGTCTTTTAGCTATACTTTTTCAAAATCAGAAAGATGGGATAGCGTTGCAAGTCACATTTGATTGTGGACCATCAAATGTGATGTCTTTAAAGCATAGAGTTTACTGAATGATAGTCTAATTTGTGATTGAATGTTTCAAGTTGGTATTGTCTTGTTTCAGTAGTTGAGTGATTTGGGGGCGTGACTGCTATTTGGTGAGACTATCAAGTAGGAGGTTTTGGGCTCGTGAAATAGTGTACAGTTGTGATTGATTGACGTAGACTTTCAACTTTCAAACACTTAGTATCACTCCCTGTCGAGCTTCAAGCGGTAAAATAGATTAATTGAATCTCACATTACGTCTGGTTCATTGCTAAATGCGCGACCATATACAAGACTCCAGTCAGGGAACTGACTCGATTGTTAGGAAGGTCTAGGTGAATAAGTGTCCCATCATTGTGAAGTGATGAAAATGTTGTACCTGTCACTGGTTGCTGTCTTACCTCATAGAATCTGTGAAACACATTGATTTTCAGTTCTCGAAGAGCAGGTAGAGTTTCGAGGGCAAGTCTACTTTTCATCTGTTATTCGAGCACAATAATTCCTGTATTTCTTCATGTCGGGGCTCCCTTCGATTCATTGGATATAACTCTTCCTAATTGTCTGTTAGAAAAGCGTCTACAAGCAGTTTACTAGCACTCACCCAACAAACCTAAGGTAATTTGGGGTTGTTATTGTTATAATTGTTATTGACTAGTAGTAGGGTCGGTCACTCTCGCAAATCGTTTTTCACCCCCCCCCCTGCTCTGTTACTGATATCCTTTCTCTACCATACCATAGATATACCGAATCGCACTTAACCCATTCACATAAACTTGCTATAGTGTGTGGTATGTTATTTGCATCGTCCAAAACATAGTATTTTTAAGAGTTTGTAGGGATCCACTAACCTAAGTCACTTTCACAATTAAACCGTTAGAAGTGAAAAAATTTCACTTATCCTGGTAGTTATGTAAATGCCAGTAAAATCGAGACAGATGAAGTTTCTAGTAGTGAAGTGAAAAGTACACTGTCGTGCGCCAACTTGGACCACCACCGCCGACGTTAGTTTGGCCCTCAAAAGTCCAATTTATGACGCCTCAGAGCGGTCAGTCTTGCTCTCCGTCTTTGAAGCCTAGCCTTCGAGTTGAGAAGGTACGACAGTTTGTATGTCTGGTCATCAGTGTCTCCGTAGAGCTGGATATTTTCTGAAATTCGAAGTGTTAAGTCACATGACCTAACACACAACAGGTCTCCTTTTAGTTCTGATTTATTTGGGATTTCCAGGAATCTAACCGGAATTACAGGAAATGAAATAAACGTGTCAGGTGTTGATTTATGTGGAAGTTATTTGGATCAAAAACAGTCTATTTCAATTAGTGAACGTGAAAATCAGCCTAAACCAAATGAAATGATCCAAAGCAAGACCAAGTTACTACAGAAGTCGGAAACAAAGACAAACAGCAAAGGTTCCAAGGAAGTGCAGACTTCAATGTGGGATTCATGCAACAACCATGAAACACGAATTCTTTCTAGTGAGACACCAGTGACGGCCATTTTTACTTCATTCACCACGGAAGCAGCAACTACTAGAAATGGTAAGTTATTTGTTAGATTACCTTTTTTCGTTAATGAGTCCACGTAAATATTTTAGTCATAGTCAAAACGAAGTTTATTAGTGTGTTATCGCAATGAAAATGGCAAACATTTCAGATTTGACCGCTTGCCTGGTTGTTTAAAATTTCCTGATAAATTGGAACCTTGATTTTCTGTATTATTAAGAACCACTTGACAAATAGTTGAAGGAATTGTCTATAATCCAAATTCAACGTATTTAGCCATCGAAATATGTTGGTAGACAGGTGACCGCGACGTTCGCTTTTTTACCCGTTTCTAACTGCTTATCACTTGATACTCTACTTTTATGTTGTTTGTTTCAATTAATTTGCCTTGTTAGAGTATTTTTGTATAACAATGATACATCCACAACAACCAATCACACTTCCTTGGTTGCATGCAAAGAATGTACAATGAATTGTTTTTTTACACTGAAATTTAAAAGTGGCGACTACCAATGTAATAAATATGGGCTATTTTAAGAAAAGGCATAAAACACACTTATCTCTAAGCTTATTAAAAAATTCCTGGCATTTGCAATGAATCCTACGAAGAATCAGTTGTTTGGAAAGAAATCAAAATAACAACAGACATAGTGTAACGGCATCAACAAGCTGTAGAAAGTAAAATCTCAAAATACTATAATATACTGATTTCGTGTTTGAATAGAAAACGCAGAACAACGCATATCAATTGCTTTTGTTAGGTTACTTAACAATCAGTTTTTTTTTGCAAACAAATCTTAAAGTGCTTAACGTCATGGTGACTAATTAAATCTGTTGCGTCACTTCATTGTCACGCCTATGCATTATATTACACGTCATATCCTCCTTCCTACTTTCTAATCTACGGCTATTCATATGCATTTAGTGGAAAAATCTATCGAAAGAAGCCAAGAGTCGTATAGCGGATTTGTCTGTTTGACGGAGCATCATTCACTGAGTAATGTTATATTAACAAATTACATACCAGTATCATAAGAAGGTAGTTATAGTTTTAAGTTGTTTGCATAGATCTGTCTCCTATTATTTATTGGTGTTGTGCTATTATTCTTACACGCACTAATTTTAATGGACGAAGGTCTCAAAACAAATTTCGCCTCGCTAATGTTTCAAACTGTTAATTTCTCCCACCTTGATGTATGTCAATATATTCTGTTAAAACTGTATTCCTTTAGCCAAATTACCTTAGTCCGAACTCAGTTGCCTGGAACAAATTTATGATGTACCAGGTTATGAGCCACACTTATTGTTTGAAAGCTAGTGATGTTAGCCAGTTGCCGAGGTCGAAGTCAGCGAAACTCAAACCTGTAATCTACTATCTGAAAGTCAAGTGTTTAAACCACATTTCCAAGGTCTAATTACTTACGCAGTTCCCTACTATATGATAACTCCGACTTTATAATCACTGTGTTGTACTCTGCACATTTAGCGTTCGTGTAGTACGATACGAATTTGTGACGTAATGTCTTCTTCCTACACAACAACACTATAAGATCTAATTCTTTCGACCTGGTGTTGCAGTTACCATGCACGTAATCAGTGCCTGTTTTCTTTTGTATTCTTGATGATTTATAAGTAATCTCTAAAATGTAATTGTTGAATATTGGCGTTTCTCATTTCCTTACTTAGATTCGGTAATTTATCAGACAGGTTTTAGACTCTGTATAATTTGACCTTTGATAAAACTGTTGACTAGGATTATTTAAATTCAGTAGGATGCGGTTGTTTTCGCTTGGCAATTGTGTCTAACCTACTATATTTCCTCTGTATTTTAGAAAAGTGTATGACTGCTTCATTTCAGGCATACAAGTCAAATATGAAAATGAATTTTACACGCAATATTAAGATGTAGATTAGTGTTCATAAATTAGAATATAATGTAGGGTGAGTACATCTTTGCTCTTTTGAGCCGTTTTTTCAAGAGTAGCAAACCACTGACTGCCATCTTGAAGACTCTAACTAGATGTCTGCACCTACACAGACGACTCAAACCAATAATCAGAGACTTTCATAGGTTGATTTCATTTATCGTCTAGCTAGCAATAACTATTTTCCAAACTAAACCTATCTCAGCTAACGTCACTGTTTCAGATAGAATATGTCCTAAACACCAGGTAGTATATGTAAACCGTAGAATGAAGTTTTACGATCCATAATGTTTTACAGAGACACATATTACAAAGTTCGACTATCCTTAAAAAACACTTAGAGTATTGTTTTACATTCAAATGACTACTATTTTACTTTCCTTCTAGACAATCAAAGGTGTGATGCTGACTCATTTTATAACGAAGAAAGAGGGAAGTGCGAACGTGGCAACCTGCCGTTGTCTAACAATGAACCTTTTCAGGTTAATTTCCGCAGTCATGCAGGTGTATCTGACTGTAATTTGGACCATATTAGTTCAGAGTCTCCATCAACATCTATTCAAAACCAAATGAGATCAGTCAGTGTAGATTTCAGCCAATCACTACTCCATCCAAATGAATCTCAGCTTATCGCACAATGCCCACCAATGAAAACATGTCAAGCATGCCAGCAGTTAATCCACCGAAATGCTCCAATATGCCCTTTGTGCAAAACCAAAAGCAGGTCAAGACACCCGAAAAAGCCGAAATCACGTCCCAACACGCAGGTTACTGACATACCAGATTCTACAAGCATTTTCCTGGCATCGGATGCAGTACGTGATCGCAATGAATAAGGTGCTAATGTGATTGGTTACTAAATATTTTCGGTCTTATCTTCTACGATTTCCTTAATTGCATTTTACCTTATACGTCACATAATAATCACGATAACACTTCTTAATATGTATTTAATAATTTTCCAGTCTATGTTTGAAAGTAAATAATCTGCATATACACAAACTTATTTTAAACTTCGTCACTTTTTAATTCTCCAGTGGAAGTATATAGGTCTTCAGTGTACCTAAACTATCTAGTCAAAGAGAGGATTGTTTATTTATCTCTTGTATAAGCAATTACAACTGTTGACCATACTACATACAGCGTGGGACATCAGCAAATTATAATATAGCCTAATAATCCCGGTCTATTTAATGATTAAATTTGTAGTTATGCTATATTTTTAAGGTTGAGGCATATGAACTTCTACAAACAATAAGCGACGAGTGAAAGGTAGGCGCATGCATAAAAATTTAATTTTTAGAGACCTCAGCAATATTCGGACGGACAGTAACAACATAATATTCGACAAACTGGTCAGGGAAATAAACAACATTGTACTGAGTAACTTAAAAATACATGGTCTTTATAACTACTGATTTTCGACTCGTAAAAACTGTTTGACATAACGGGCAATACTGATAAATGACTTAGTAGCTATTTTATCAGAAATAGCTTCACTGGACACAACTTTCAACGTACAGCTTCCCTAGTGAATTCGATAAATCTTTCAATGACATTATTTGTAGCGACTGATTAGTTGTTGTAATTCCGTTACGAGCTTATAAATTCAGACAGGCAGAAATAAGAAAGTGGCTCAAAGTAAGGTCATGTCATCTGCTAGTCGAGCTGATTGAGTACTCTTCTGATATCGTCTGACGTCTCTGCTCTTTATGAAATGACGACTGTTGAGGTTCATGTTTTCGGAATGCGTTTCCGGCCATACTTAATGTCTGTGTTGATTTTGTTGATGAAGTTCCTTGGGTGGTTGTTTTGCTTGAGTGTTTCAGTAATGTTTGATATTTCTTTTTCTTTCTCATCCGTTATCAGAGTGTGCTCGTCTAAGGAGACTTGAAACAACTGAAATCTTTGCGCTGATGGGGTGTGATGATTTGAAGTCTAAATATTTATTTGAGTGGGTTTTCTTCCTGAATATATTATTGCGAAATGCAGTAATAAAAAAGTATTAAAGTAAAGCAAGGATAATAAAGCCTTGTATGATTTCTGCAAACTTGCATCATCCTTGAAAAGGTGTAATATCCAGCCAACTTGTCGAAGAACACGTGTGTGCTGTTCAGCAGACCGCTGCGTCCTCCTTTACGGGATGTAGTTGCCAAAAGTTAAAGAAAGTGATCTAGCTACAGATTTCTGAAGACGGACGCCTTCGTTTAATACCTCGACTCAAAGTATAGCAACGAAATAAGCAATAATAAGTTTAGAGATTAAAGCATATATAGAGATTGTGGACAACAATATGAGGTTGTGAATATCCACTAATTGAAGTAAACAGGACATGTGTTATGAATACCGAGTCACCGCCATTTTCTACGAGCGATGTTAACAGCAGCATATTTAAAGAGTTAGCGGTGGTCAGACGAAAACTTTGTCGGTGTAAGGCGGGAACTGTTCGATTTAATCATTCTCTCACCTGTGCATTTTCGGGAGTGGTAAATTTATTGCATTCTTTGTCTTAACTCGATATACGATAGCTTGAAGTGACGTAGTAAATACTAAGTAGATACGTTAACCAATCGAAAACATTCTGCGTTTACGGAAAAGTAATTCAACTTAGGTGGCAATTAGATAGTAATGCTCAAATCAAGAACAAGAAAGTAGTGTAAGATGAGAAGAACAAGAAGTTCAACAAAGATATCTTTTCGGCGATTTCATTCTCAAGAGCTGTACAATCGCATTTATATAGATAAGTTTACATGGATACAATTCTTATTTGTTTAATTCCACCTAGTAACGAAGGTGATAATAATTTTCAACTTGATATGAAAGTTTGAAGGTACGAATATAGATTACAAGGGGCTTAGAGACAAGATTGCATAGGATTAGATAACAGTTACAACGTATACAAAATTAATATTTGATAACTGGAGAAATAATTTCAAAGGTGATAATTATTTTCAACATGATATGAATTACAAGAGGCTTAGAACGAAATACAGGTGTGAACAAAATGAGCATGGAAACAAATTGAAATCAAAATTTTTTAACTTGAAATGTAAGTTAGTAGGTGTGAATATAGATTACAAGAGGCATAGAAACAAAAAATTACACAGGATTAGAATATAATTGTAAAATGGTTATTTTAAACGGATTACAAGTGTGATCAGGATGAGCATGGGAACAAACTTAAAATAACTGATTTTATAACCGAAAAAATAGGATGAATTGAATGAAGGTAAAGAGAGAAAATTGCACACACAGAGAACAAAAAAAACTGAAGGATAAGGGAACATACCGAACTAGGTCCACGGTAGTCGTAAAGGCTGGACTAGTTTCCTTTGAAACACATAGCTCCGGCTTTTCGATGCATATGGCGAGAGCTTCCGCAGTACAAAGAAGTCGGAAGCACACTGTCTTTGGTAGATTTTTGTTTACATTGTAAATGACGAGTCGGTTGAGATTCCGTGAAAATTATTGACAAGATGTTCAGTTATTGCGCTTCTGATTGAACTAGTGCCTCCTCTTTGCAGCCATGCTGGATGATGTTCTCTAACACGTTTTGATAAGACCCGCATAGAACGACCTATTTACCTAGCTCTGCAAGAGCAGGTGAACTGATATATGCACATTGAAGTGGTCAGATGCGGAATTCTATCCTTCCCGCTGCTCCGAAGTAGTGGGCGGCTAGAGAATATCACTCTTAGAGTTGCTGCCGGAAAAGTCTTCTTCAGGGATTTAGAGATTCTCCTTTTAAGGACATCTGCTGCTAGGTCTCCCCTGAATTCCAGATCCAAATAGAGTGTCTTCTTTTGCACTGAAGTGTATTCTTCTCTTTCTGGCCTTGGTTTCATGTTCTCCACAAAACGCAGTGGGTATCCACTTTGAACCAGGATGCTTTTTAGGAATAGGAGCTCTTTTACGGCTGATAGGTATCCAACTGTAGAAGTTTGTCAGCTGGCCATTCCATGTTGGTTTTCTATGGATAGATCTTTTCAGAGTTCCGTCATCTCTTCTTGTCAATTCGACGTCCAAGAATGGAATCTTTGATTCATTTTCAACTTCCATTGTGAATTTAATTGAAGGATGACAGTTATTAAACTCCTGTAAGATACAATTTAAATCGGAATCATCTTGACAAACTATAAAAGTGTCATCGACGTATTTTTTGTACAGCAGAGGTTGATTTGACCGAGACATATGTGACGTCCCCAACCACTGGGCTGCATAATCCCTTGGAATCCGCCCAGCCAATTGCGATTGGACAACTAGTGCTAACTCAGCACAGCCTATCATTCACCCGATGGTGTCATCGCCTGACTACATTCCTTTCTTAGTCAGTTGCAAGGCAAGCAAACCACGGGGACATTTGCAGCGTGTCTTCAAATCACCATAGCAGGTTTCTCGAGATGCATCACTTATTGAAAGACAATCTACATCGCAAACAAACTTGTGCCGTCAAAATGAAAGTACTGAACCATGAATCGAAGGCAACCCTGACATTAAGAAATAAAGGGATTGTTGGTTTGCGATTAATGTCGTGGGGTTCTAGCAACTGATGAAGAGTAAACGTATCATCGATATATCGGATACCTTAAAGGAACCCGTCCTGCTCTTCGTCAACGTATCTTGAGTGCGTCTTCAGGGGTCTACAAAGTACGACAGTAATCGGCAACAGGTAGAAAATAATTTCATCGTCCCCAAACAGTCGGGTCAGTTCCCTGGCTGAAGTATTGTATATGTTCGCATATTTAGCAATGAGCCAAACCTAATGTGGGATTCAATTAGGCTATTTCACATGTCCGAAACCCCCTACTTGATAGTCGCACCACACACCAGTCCCACATTTTTTCCAGATGTGTTACAAGCGTATAAATGAGACTGCCATTTGCCTCACGGACCGTCTATCTCTTTCCATGCCTTTTGTGTTAGTAGTTGTGATAGAGGCATCTGCTGCTTCCAAGAAATACTCAGGTTTTGACTAACAGGCTTTGCGGTCCCTATAGGATTTATGTTCCCTACAGATTTAGTCCTTCCGCTCAGTACTGACAACACTGAATCTTGGCTTAACTATAGTTAAAAACAGAGTGACTTGACCTAAACTTTGTCTGTTTCTAAAACATACAATTACACCAATAAAAACATGTAAACCCATTGTCACTCAAGAAAAGACAAAAAAGTACCGAACAGTATTGAGGGAACGGACAAAATGAACAGTTAATTAATTACATGTATACACAAATAAAGTGACAGAAAACAAAGAACACTCAAGATCACATCACGTGGTGTGAGTTACATTAAATTAACCAATAATCACGACAAAAAGGTCACATCATATTGATTGGTTGTCTATCATACAATCTATCTATCCGTCGCGATTAATAGTCCCTACACAAGTGATGATTGATTTTACGCGTAAGTCCCGCACAGATATTCACGATCTGCTTGACCGGGTGGATGGGTATGAAGAAGTCGCCAGGATCTCGCAGAAGCATACTTCTTTCCAGTGGAACATTGTTCTAGAAAGCTTTCTTCGCCATCTCAATGACGCCTTGTGAGTGCAGCTAGTGTTTATCTATGGTCTTTGAAAGATCAGTACCTAACATTGCATCTATTCAAACTTGCTATTTGGCTGCTGTCGCAGGGGCACTCGATATGCCTACTTCAACCTCTTCAGAACGACAATTATAACTTCCATCCAATTCCCTAACGAAATCTGATTCACAATAAAGCAAGATGTTAGGACTCATCCTGAAATGCATCTGTGTGTTAGATGAATTAACGTAAAGAGATCACCTCTCTGATGAGTCGCTTTTTACTCTAATATAAGCTAGCTCAAAAGGACATGAATAAGAACAGAAATCAACTGTTAACGGGGATCTAGCATATAATGCAGCCTTGGGTTTAGGGTTTAATGATGGACACAGGTGTCACTAAAC